ATTTAATATCATATAAATTTATAAATTTATAAATTTATAATTTTATACGATATTATAATTGTAATATTATCATAATAAAATTTTTATTACGTTTGTCAATGACATGATCATAGGAAATGTTTTTGTAAATTTGATATTTCCTTTGAAATTATCCTTTTGATCTCACACTAGTTAGCAAATTAATTGTGATTGATCGAGTTTTGAGTATAACAAAAAATATATATATATATTATTAAATTAGAGTACAAGGAATGCACCGTCTACACAATTCTCTTTCCTTACAACTTAAATAACATCATCACCTACCCATGACAACTCTAGTACTAATAAGCAGCACTCACCACCTGCATAAAATCCATTCACAACCATGCTGCACATTTGACTTCAATATGTTGGTACAGCTCCACAGATTGTGAACCCATTCCTGAAATGATCTGGCCGCTTTCCCATAAATCCATTGGACAGCTAAGTGCATGCACTACAAGAAAACCTAGCTTCACCGACCATATATCACCGAGGTAGGAAGGTTTCTCGGTGAAGCATCAATTTACCGACAAGAATCAAGTTTGCAACTTGAGAAACAGTAAAAGTGCGAGTAAGAAATATTATTTAGTATACAAACGTAACACTTGTCGGTAATTTAAGCTTGTACATAGGTGTTACTTGTCGGTAATTGCAGCATCCACTCCGGCTGGTGGGGGAAGGATGGAAACCCATATCACCGACGAGAAGCACACCTGTAAATTGAAATTTGGAACGATAGTCTCGTCGGTAATTGAGGATCAATTTCCAACGTTCATCTTCTCGGTAATTTCCACTCCCAATGCACCCCTTGCCAACCAGCTGGCTGCCTGCGTCAGGGAGCGCAGCTTTTTCTTGAAATTTGCCGACATAATCCTTGTTGGTAATTTGCTATTCAGCAACTCCCGGTGAATCCGGCTGCTGGCCACTGGTGTTGCAGCTTTTATTTTCCTTACTGATGATATGCAGGTCGGTAATAGGTGCATTGCCAACTTGATGCTCGTTGGTAATGGGCCCGGTCAACGAGAATCCTGATGCAATGCAGAGGTGATCAGCTTTAGACTGTAGCAACATGGGTTTTGTCGGTAAGTTTGCCTATTGCCCTGTTGACCCGCCCTTCTGCCTTCATTTTGGTCTTTCTCCTTTCATTTTCATTTCCCT